GCCAGGCAGAAAGAATAGCATACACAAAGGCCCTGGGGCAGGAAGAAACGTAGGGCACTCAAGGGGCCAAATGCGCAGCTGGAGCCCAGAGCCAGGAGGTTGAGGGTGCAGGGCGAGGTTAGGGAGGCCACAAGGAGTTCTTGTACCTTTAAAAAGCGATCCCAGATATGACTCAGGAGACATGATGAGTCCATTAACACGCATGCTGCTCCCAATTTCTCTCTGGCTTTCAGGAAACTCAACTCCCACCCTAGCTTCCTGGAGTCGAGGAGGATCCAGTGGGACCTACCTGGGGGTCCCACGGGGCCAACCCAAGTATCCCTCCACAGAACTGGATGGAAAGTCAGAGAGACTAAAGGCCCCTGGCTGTGGGCTCGGGTCAGGGGCAGCCAAGATCACCAATGAACCTCCTTGGAAGGAGAAGGGCCATGAGCCAGCCATTCTGTGGAGCCACGACTGGCCCACCACTCTGCTCCCTTCTTCTTCCCAGGCCACCGGAGTCTGCTCGCTCCCATGCCTGTGGGGCCAGAGCCCACTGAGGACAGAGGTGGGTGTTCCTGGTGTTACTGATCATCTCTGGGCCCTGGAACAGAGGGGGCGTAAGTGGATGGATGTCTGAAGGACAGAGGAATGAATGGGCCCCCAGTCTCCTCTCCTGAGCCATATGGAGCCCCTGGGGCCTTCCCGGCTGGCCGCCCCTGTGTCCTTGCAGAGCTGGGTCACTGCAGGGCAGGCAGAGCGGGGTGTCACGGAGCAGGGCAGCCCGGAGCTGTCAGCGGGCGAGCAGGTGCCCGTGGCGTCCGTTCCCTCCAGCTTGGCTCTGGCCTGGTTCCTCAGGGCACGAACAGGTCTGACGAGTTCCTCAGCAGCGGAGACCTTGATTTCCAGGAAAGCCAAACTCTTAGAGAGCAGAAAGAACAAGGCCTGGGCGGAGAGAAGGCTCTTTTGGAATACTGCTTCTCCTCTGCCGTGGGCCTTCCCCAGCCCCTGCTCGCAGACCTTGCCCTTGTGATCTGAGCCGGGGAGCTCCGGGCTGATGGGCACACCTCTCTCTCCACCTCCCCCAGAGGCAACGAGGACTCCATCCCTCCCCACCCCCCCAATCCCACGGCATCGGCTGGTAGCGTGGGGTAGAGCGTACGGGTGCAGGCTCAGAGCCGGGCTGCCTGGGTTCCCCTTCCAGCTCCACCAATGACCTTGGGCAAACTCTGTCCTCCCTTTCCGGTCCTGCGCTCACATGGCTGAGGTGCCTAAGAGCACGTGCAGACCTCAGCCTGGGGCCTGGCACTTCGGATCCCACGTTGTTGGCATTTCTCCACTCGATCTTCTCCCTCGGGCCTCACCTCCCGGCCTGCTGACCGCCAGTCTCTGCCTGGTCTTCCTCCTGCTCTAAGGGCTCGGGGTTACTCTGTGGACTCTTCTGGTCCCGCTGCCGGCTATCCCTTCACAGGCTAGGCCCAGGTCCTGGCTCCCAGAGCCCTAGACATAGCATCCATCTGCCTCTTGCACCTCACTACTAACACTCCAAGCCCCAAACTGAACTCAGCATCTCTCCCCGGAGCCACTTTTCCTCCGAGTCCTCCCCCCTACCCAGGGCAGGGCACCATCAGTCACCAAAGCCATGTCCCCACGGCTCCCCCTGATGCCCATCATCTCTACCCTTTCTCCTGATCATACTGTCTTGTCTCTTTCCTCTTTCTTTCTCTCTCCTTTTCCTTTTTCTTGCGCCCTTCCTTCCTGTTGGGATAGAACATAAATATAGTAAAGTACATTAACAGCTCGAATCTTAGATCGTATGATCACCTTACGTGTCTATACATGAGTACGTGCCACCAGATCAAGACATGGAGGATTTTCATCTCCCACAAGTTTCTCTCATGGCCCTTCCCCACCCCAGAAATAACCATCATTCTGCCTTCCGCCTCCATAAATTAGCTTCACCTGATTTTGAACTCCACATACGTAGAATCAAAAAAATACGCACTCTGAGACATCGAGATGGATGGATTGGAAATGAGAGTCCAGATATAAAGCCATACAACTCTGATGAGTTCATCTTTGACAAGGATGCCAAAGCCACTCAAGGCGGGAACATAGTCTTCACTCTTCCAAATCCTGGAAGAACTGGGTATCTACAGGCAAAGAATGAAGCTGGACCCCCTACTTCACACCAGAGACGACGACGACAAAGCCCTCAAGATGTCTCAATGTCCTAAATGCAGGACATTGAGACATAAAAGAATAAGCATGAAAGAACACTATTAAGAAAGTGAAAAGAGAATCCACAGAATGGGAGAACATTTTTGCAAATCATGGATCTAAAGAACCTAGTATCAAATATATATAAAGAACTCTTAGAGCTCAGCAACCAAAAAGATAAGTAACCCAATTTAAAAATGGGTCATAAAGCTGAAAAGACATTTTTCAAAAAAAAAATATAAAAATGGTCAATAAGAACATGATAAGATGCTCAGCATCATCAATCATTAGGGAAATGCAAATGAAAAACAAAATAAAAGGCCACTTTACACCCACTAGGAGGGCTATTAAAAAACAACAACAACAGTGGGGCGCCTGGCTGGCTCAGCTGATAGAGTGTGCAACTCTTGATCCCAGGTTGTGAGTTCAAGTCCCACATTGGATGTAGAGCTTACTTAAATAAATAAAAATTTAAAAAAGAAAAAAAGAAAAAAACCCAAAAATAACAGTGCTGGCGAGGATGTGAAGAAAGTAGAAGAACTTCGAACATTGCCAGTGGGCATGTAAAATGGTGCAGTCACTTTGAAAAGGTGCTTTGAAAAGCAGCTGAGCAATTCCTGGAAAAGTTAAATATGGAGTTACTATATGACCCATCCGTTTCACTCCTAGAAGAGGATCAAAAAACATGCTCACACAAAAACTTGCACATGAATGTTCACAGCTCTGTTACTCATAATAGCCCCAAAGTGGGAACATCCCTAATGTCCATCAAGAGATGACTGGGTAAACAAAGTGTGGTCTAGCCGCACAATGCAATGTTATTCAGCTATAAAGAGGAAAAGTACCACAACACAGAGGAACCATGGAAACATTATGCGAAGAAGCCAGACACCAAAGGCCATATACTGTATGACTCCATTTATATGAAATGTCTAGAATAGGCAGATCCATGGAAAAAGAAATTAGATTGGGGGTTGTTGGGGACTTGGCACAGAAAGGGATGAGGAGTGGCTGCTAATGGGTTTTTTGGGGGGCAATGAAAATATCCTGGATATGGATAGTAGTGACAGGTGCACAGCCCTGTGAGGATACTAAAAACCACTGAATTATATCCTTTAAAATGATGGGTTTTATGGTATATGAATTATATCTTAATAAAAAAGTTATTTTTAAGTATGCTATCATTTTAAAAAGTTAAAGAAAGAAGTGTGCTCTCTTTTGTGTGTGTCTTTTTTTTTTTTTAAGATTTTATTTTTAGGGACGCCTGGGTGGCTCAGTCAGTTGGGCGTCTGCCTTCGGCTCAGGTCATGATCCCGAGATGCTGGGATGGAGCCCCGCATCGGGCTCCCTGCCCCGCAGGGAGCCTGCCTCTCCCTCTGCCTGCCGCTCCCCCTGCTTGTGCTTTCTCTCTCTGTCAAATAAATAAATAAAAATCTCAAAAAAAAAAAAAGATTTTATTTTTAAGTAAGCTCTATCCCCAACGTGGGGCTGGAACTCACAAGCCTGAGATCAAGATCATTGTCTTGTTTCCAATTTGGGACTCTTGTAGATCTGTGAGCTCTCACACTTGTCTTTCGAAGGACATGTGATGGACATTTCTGGCGGTCTCTGTGTAGGAGTGGGAGTGCTAGGTGAGCAAATGTATCCATTTTAACTTCAGGAGGAAGTGCTGCCCCAGTTTGCCAAAGGGGTTGACCCACTTCACGCTCCTGTGACCCAACTTCGAGAGTTCTGTTTGTTCTACATCCTCGTCAACACTTGGCGTTGTCAATCTTTTTAACTTTAGCTATTCTGGTGGGTGTGTTCTGTAAGGAGGTTTTCATTTGCATTTTCCCTACAAGCGTGAAGTTGAGCATCTTTTCAGGTCTTTCTTAGCCATTTGGAGACTTTTTGGCATTTACTTGTGTGTGTGTGTGTGTGTGTGTGTCTGTGGTTGTTAGCTTTCCATTAAGGATGTGTAGGATTTTTAAAAAATGTTTCTCCATGAAGTCTTTTTTTTTTTTAAAGATTTTATTTACTTATTTTTGAGAGAGAGAGGGAGAGTGTGTGAGCGCCAGCAAGGGGAGGGGCGGAGGGAGAGGCAGGCTCCTCGCTGAGCAGGGAGCCCAACATGGAACCCCATCCCAGGACCCCGGGATCATGTCTTTCGCTGAGGGGAAATGTTTACTTTTGATGAAGTCCAACTTATGCATTTTCATTTTGTGGTTGGTGCTACATGTGTCCTCTTTAAGGAATCCTCACGGGCTCCTTAAACATTTCTTGGCTCCGCCCCCTCGTCTCTACCTCGTTGGCCTCTGCCCAGCTCCTAGGGAGCATTGCTCCGACCCCTCTCCCTGTGCCCCCACCCCACTTCTTGTCCTGCTCACTGCACCACCTTCCAGCCCAGGGACAGGGTTGGCTCATCTGGGTGTCCCCCGGACCGGCACGGGGGTTTGGCGCGCCCTAGGTGCTCAATAAAAGCTTCCTAAATGAAGGCATGTCCTGTGGCCCAGCTGGGGATCATTAAAACTGTCAATTAGTTCTAAACACCAGCTCATCAGGAACATTTGAGCAAAGCCGGGGAAGTAAAAAAGTTTTGGAAAAACCAACAACGCAGGAATGTTTCGCTTTCTCCCCAACCAGAGCATTAATCACGAAAACTCAGGCCTTGTTAGCATTCTTTATTCTCGCTTTGCCCCTGAGCCACAGGGCGAGGGGAGCCTTTCCTTTGCACACGTTGGCTGTAGGGGGCTCCCCAGGGGTCACCCCCAAAACATGGCGGGTGTTTGCTGCCTCCCAGTGTTGGGGGGGTCCCTGGCCTCCTAGTCTTTCTCCTCTCCGTGTGTGATGACGTAGCACAGGTTCCGGTAATCCAGGTTACCACACATATCTGGCGGGAAAGCCGCAAACATCTGCTTGACCTGGGGAAGGAGCAGGGAGTCAGCCTGGACTCGGGTGGAAGGGGGACCAGAGTCGGGGGGGGTGTCACCTGAGGGCGTCAGGCAGAACGTGGCTCCCCTCTCTGCAGATGGAGGCAGGGATGGCCACGGGCCCACAGCCAGCCCCACTCAGCCTTGTCCCCCTCCAAGGAGTCAAAGGGCTCATCATGTCGGCATCTAAACAAGAGCCATCTCTCGGGGAGGGGCTGCTGAGAAGGGCCTGGGCCGGGCAGGACCTCCCCTGGAAGATTCTAGGCAGGGCCCTGGAAAACACGCACTCACCTCCTCCTCACTGAACCGGTCGGCCTGGGTCATGAGCTTCTCTTTGATGCTGCTCGAGGGGAAGAGGAAGGGTCAGGTTCAGGGGAAGGGCCACCCCGGGCGTGCACATGCAGATCCCGGGTGGGGGGTGAGAGGGGACAGGCGGTGGGGATGCGTTGTGCCCCAGGAAGACGCCGGCCAGATGTCTGTGTGGCCTCAGACGGACCCCTCCATTTCTTCTAGACGCACCGCTGGTTCAGCCAGGGACTTGCGCTGACATGTGCATCGTGCCTTCGGGAGTACAACGGGCTTGCACTCGGCCGAGGCATGATAAAGCCTTGCCCAGGTCTCCTTTGCTCCTCGTAGCCCCGGGAAGCCAGGGCTATGAGCCCCCTTCACAGAGAAACTGCTGAGGTTCGGGAGATGTCAGGACCGGCAGTGACAGTGTGCGGCCAGAGCTGCCCGGGGGCCTGGAGGAGCGGCAGGAGGTGAAGCTCCAGAAGCCTGATGCCCCGGGAGCTTGGAGGGCTACCCTCCCCCCCGGCCTCTCGGGGGGCACAGCGGGCAGGGAAAGGATCAGAGGGCTGAGCCAGGCCTGAGCGCCAAGTGTCCCGTGGCGCTGGCAAAGGCCAGCCCGCTAAGGACCGACGCGCATTTTCCATTATTTATGTTACTGTGGGACAGTCACAGTTTCCGACTCTCTGAGCTGGGGACTGTTCACAGACTCCGTTTCAGCCAGAGCCTCCTCTGTGGCCTGCCTGGCAGGCAGCCACGTCTTCCACGTCCAATAGCCCCGGGGGTGAGGTCTTCGGTTCCCAAACTGGGTCCCTGAAGTGTTCCTGGCCTGGCACTGGGGGGAGTGAGGGTGCGTGCCGGGAGAGGGGTTGGTCCAGACCACTCCTGGGGTGGCTCTCAGTGCCTCCTGGGGGTCCCCAAGATGGCTGTGGGAATCAGGGACCCTGAGGGAGGGGTGAAGGAGAGGGCCCCAGCCTGCAGAAACCCTGAACGACCCCTCCCCTACCCCTGGGGAGCATGTGCCTCACAACTGTGGCGGGTGGTGAGAAGGTGTGGGGGACAAGATGGGCCTTGTCTGGTTTCACCCCCGTTCCCCCCCCCCCCCCCGCCCTCTCCTGCCCTCCCCCGCCCGTCCCCATTACGGGATGATTCTACCGGGCAGCAAATCTAGCCTCAAAGCCAAGGCCTCAAGCCTCCCAGTAATCAGTCAGGAAGCATGTGCCTGGGGAGGAAATTCTGCCTGCCTCAGGCCACGCACAGGCCCAGTGAGACCTCGGAGGCTCTGAAGGGACTTCCCCAGGGACAGTTCAGTGTCCTAGCTCCTGCGCAGGCCGCCCCACCCACCACCCTCGGCTCTGCTCAGTGCTCTCACTGGGGCACAGCAGGCATCGGGGCCCCCACCTCCACAATGCCAGCCCAGTGGCCCCCAGGGCAGACCCGGAGTCCAGGGCTTGTTGCATGAGCTGCCCCACACAGGCCCTCTCTGTGCTCAGCCTCTCCCACCCAGCTTCCCCACGCCCTCCAGCCGCCCCCTTACCAGCCCCGCAAACGCCGAGCCCTACCCCTTCACAGCTATGTTCTGGCCTCTAGAATGTTCCCTGCCCCAGCCTAGGCAACCCTATGTCGCCCTTCAAGGCCCACCTCTACCACTGGGAAACCCACCCCTGGTGACCCTACACTCCCTATACACTTCCACACAGAAATGGGGACACTGGGTCCCAGAGAGGGGAAGGGGGGGGACACTGGGCGATGGCTGAGCTGGGCAGGGCAGTGCCCGCCTGGCTCCTGGCCAGACACTGACCGAGCTGGGTGGGGGAGGAGACTGGGCTGCAACCCACCCTGACCTCACCCCAGCTCACTGATCACCTGAGCCTCTGGGGAGAGAAAAACCAAATGAAGGGCAGAGGGGACTTACAAATCAGCCTTGACGAAACCTTTCCCTGCGGTGTCAAACACCTTGAAGGCGTGGAGAATGGTCTCCTCCGGGTCCGTACCTAGAAAACAGCACATACAGGCAGGGAGAGAATGAGAGCATAGGCCAGGGCTGGGGGCTGGGCTTCCCCCCCAACTTCTACTCCACAGTGGGAGCAAGAGAAGGGAGATTTCTGAGAAACGAGGAATAGGAGTAACGACCAAGAGCACTGTGTGTAGTTGTGAGCAGCCTGCTCAGCTGTACATGGAGACCCCAACTGAGCACTTACTATATGCTTAACCCTCCTGATGACTGGCCTGATTTCATAGGCAAAGAAACTGAAGCTCAGATTAGTGAGGTGGGGTTGGGGTGGGGGCACTTCTGGGGCTCCCTCGTGACCCGAGATGTGCATGAGAGCTGGCAGGTCCAAAAAGACAGTGCTGTACTTGGGGGCTGAAGGCTGGGCTTGGGCAGGGGCACTGGAGGGTCTGCAACATGGTCCAGGCCAGAGATGGGGCGGGTGGAGGGCAGTGGGCTGGAGGGAGGGCAGAGCAGTTCTGGTTTGTCACCGACCCCCACACCCCGGTGTGGGCTTGGGGGAAAGGTGTCATTAGAAGGAATGTCTATTACCACAACAGGATGGAAGAGCTAGCCCCTGGTTGTATGGATGGGGAAACTGAGGCCCAGAGGAAAGCAGGGTCTGGCCCAAGGCCTCACAGCCATTAATGACAGCAGGCGACCTGGTGACCCTTCCCTGATGCTCTCTCCCCTCTGTCACACTGCCACCCCGCTCACTGCAGACCAGGCATGTCCTCTTCCTTCCTCAAGGCTCAGCTCTGTCACCAGTGACATGGAGGGAAAGGTGTGTTTGCTGCCCACCTCCCAGGATCAGCTTGCAAAAGGGGTCATTAATGGTAAAGATCGGGTCGAACATTGATGGGTCACGGTCGCAAACCCCTCTGAGTGCTCTGTGCCATGTTGGCTCCCAGGAACCGCCCCCCCCGCCACCAGAACACCCCGTGCAGTAGGTATCGATGTCCTCAGTTTGTCAAAGAAGGAACCGAGACAGAGGACCTTGCCTGAGGTCCCCACGAAGAACGGGAGGAAGGGTCTGAAGCCGACTCTTTGGACTCCAGAGCTCCCTGCTGCTCTGTGCTCCTGCCTGCCAGACTGGGGCCTCCTCCCGACAGGATGCCATCTGAGTCACTTGGCGTCTCTGAGGCCGAGCGAGGGGCCGAGCCTGGCGCAAGTCTGGCCCCGCTGGCCTGGGAGTTCGGGGAGGGCACAGCCGTGGGCTTCCTCCGCCGAGGGCAGCAGGGAGCCCGTGTGCCCAGGCCAAGAGGCTCAGCCCAGGGTCCCTCTGGGGCAGAGCCCCAGGAACTCACCGCCTGGCCTCGGAAGCAGAGAGGGGGTGCCCCAGGGATTATGGTGGGGGGGCTGGTGGGAGGTCTTGGCCTCCCAGGGCATGTGAAGAGTCCTCGCTGCTGGGGTGGGCTGGCTCCAACCCACCTTCCTGAGGACCAGCAGCCCCGGTCCTCTCTCCCCCCAGAGAGGGTCTCTGCTCTGCGGACCGCAAACCACACAAATGTATGGGCCACAGAGTGGCCATTGGGAATCACGTGACCAAGTGTCCTCATCCCAGTTAGAGGGATGACGGGGCCTGCTCCAGCCCCCCAGCTCCTGTCCCCACTGCTGGCCGAGTGTGCAGGCTCAGCCAAGTTCACGTAACAAGCTCAGATGGAGCCCCCATCCTGGGATCCCTGCAAAACTGAGAAAAAACTGCAGTCTCTTGGCCCCTGTGGGGGCCTGCCTGGCCCTGGGTCATGGCTCTTAGCTCAGCCGTGCACCCACGCGAACTTCAGGCCTCCCACGTAGAGTCACCAGCTAGAGTCCCTCAAGTCTTTCCCAGGAGTATACCTCTGCCCCCCCCCCCCCCCCCCCCCGCTTCTGAGCTGAATCTTCAAGGAGGAGGCCACAGTCCTGGGAATAAGCCCTAACGAGCTTCCCAGAGCTCCAGGCTCCCCTCCGGCTCCATGTCCGGCCCTCAGTCTCCCCGGGAGGGCAGGTCTATTGTTGGCCTTTAGCTCCAGGATCAGCCAGGACAGGGTGTGTAGAGGTTATTATACTTCCCAGCTGGCCTCAACCCACGAGACTGTTAGGATTTCTTGCCAAACATAATCAGTGATGTGGCCAGGGTCACCCCTGGAGTGGGTTGAGTTGGCCCCAAAACATATGCCCATGTTCTCATCTCTGGAACCTGGAAATGTCACCTCACTTGAAAAAGGGGCCTTTGCAGATGTAAGGAAATGGTGTTGAGATGGGCAGACCATCCATCCTGGGCTATGCCGATGGGCCCTAAATCCAGTGACAAGTGTCCCTCTAAGAGTGAGGGACAGGGAGATGGGCAGACAGAAGAGGAGGGGGACAGTGGGACCACAGAGACAGGGAATGGAGCAAGGCAGCCACCGGAGGCCAGAAAAGGCACAAAAAAAATGGGGCTCTCCCCTCAAGCCCCTGATAGAGCCTCTTGCCGGATTTCGGACTTCCAGACGCTGGATCTGAGAGAACACATTGAGGCTTTTTTGAGCTGTCAAGTTTGTGGTTCTTTGTTAGAGCAGCCTCAGGACACCAACACAACCCCCATTTTACAGACATTACGAAAATGGAGGTGCAAAGCAGACAAGCCTGGCCCAAGGTCACCCCGTGGGGATCAGTGGGAGGGCATCCAGCAGGTGCAGGCCGAGGGTGGGTGGGGAGGAGTCTCACCTCCCAGGGCAGCCTCAGCCCAGGCTGGCCCCCTCCCTCTGCCCAGGGAAGCCTCGAGCCCAGGAAAACGCTACAAAGGGGCAGAAGGTAGCTCCCCGGGGCCCAGAGAGAAAGGGACAGAGTTGCCTGGACCACTGCCCTGAGCCCACGCCCCCAGCCCAATGCTGCATCTCGGGAGGCACCATGGTTAGAGCCCAGAGTCGTGGTTAGGGTTCTATCCCCGCCACTCTGATGCGCGGGTGCCTGGCACAAGTATGGTGACACCTCTGAGCCCCTCGAGCTGTTCCCTGGAAGCTGTTTGAGTGGCCCTCCCGGAGCTGGGGTCAGTCGTAGTAACTTCCAGAATCCCATTCCCAGCGACCCTCCTCCTGTTGGCTGTGAGGCAGGGAAGGTAAGGCGAGCCCAGGGGTAGGGAAGTGGGGCTGGGGCCCCTGGTGGGCAGAGGGCTGTCACACGAATTGTCCCCTCCCGCCCCCAGGAGGCCCTTCTCCCACCCTGGTGTAGAAGTGGAAACTGGGGTGGGTCCCGGGGGGCTGGCAGCTGGGGCCACACCATGCTCCCAGCTGTCTGCACGCAGAGCCGGGCTGCCCAGCCCCTCCCCAGGGCCACCTGGGGCCTCGCTCACCCTTCAGCTTCTCCCCAAACATGGTCAGGAAGACGGTGAAGTTGATGGGCCCGGGGGCCTCCTTCACCATGGCCTCCAGCTCCTCGTTCTTCACATTGATGCGGCCTGGGGGAGGGGGAGGGACACCCAGGAGCGCAATGAGGGACAGAGGGGACCCTGCCTGCAGGCAGCCCAGGAAAGCAGAGCTCAGGACCAGGGAGCTTCCTGCAGGGTCTCCCAGCTCTACCCTCCCACCGCACCCCCCCCCAGCCCTCAGGCCCTGCCCACCTGCTGGGGAACCTTCAGAGGGGGACACATTCAGCCACAGCAAGGCTGCCCCCGCCCCCTGCTACCACCCTGGCCTCCCTGGACAGGAGAGCAAGTTGGTGATTATCTCCATCTCACAGATGAAGAAACTGAGGCCCAAAGAAGCTGAAGTGGAGGTGCATAGGGACCAGAAGACCTGGAGCTCAGAGCTCATGTGCCCCAGGAGGAGGTCATCCGGGGGTGGGTGGACTCTGGGGTTCCTCGTGGTCCCAGCGGACAATCACATCTCCGAGAGCTCAAAGCTTAGTTTAGACATGACTTGGTTATGCCCCCTTCCCCTGACCTGAACCCCCTCCCCATTCATGCCTTAAGTCCTCTCCTTGGGCCCTTAGAGAGGGCAAAAGCCTCCCCTGGCAGCTGAAACCCGGTAGCCTTGAGCCCTGCAGACGTGTCCGGCCTCCTCCCCCAGCATCTCCCACTGCTCTCTTGGCCCCCTACCCCACCCCGGCCTCCTAAGCCAGGCCTTTGCATGGGCCATTTGTGCACCTGCTGCCCTCCCTGTGTCCTCGGCCCAGATCGTACCTTCCAGGCACAGGCCACCCCTCCCCTGTGCCCCCACGGCCCCCAAGCCCCTCACACCCACTACAAATGCTGCCCTGGCCTGTCCCCAGGCACCCACTCTTTCCAGAAGGCCTGGGCTCAGTTCTGCCCCACGCCCTGAGCCCCCGCAGCTGCTGGTAACCCACCCAAGGCAGCAAAGGTGTCCCTCAGGTCCTCCTTGTCGATGAAGCCATCCCGGTTCTGGTCCATGATGGTGAAGGCCTGGTGGAGACGTGGGTACTGAGCAGCCTCCTACCCACTCGCCCAAGCCCAGGCCCCTCCCCAGAACCCTGCTCCCCCAAGGGACTGTTGTCCTGCACACTGCTGCCTGGGTAACCTCTGGCCAGCCGGTGTCCTGGCTCAGCACAGCACCAGCACGAGAGTGTTGGCTGACCCACTCAGCTCCCACCGCACGCCAACACACAGCTGGGATGCCACGCCCATCCCTCACTTCATGCTGCAGCAACCCCATTTTACAGAGAGGGAAACTGAGGCTCAGAGAGCAGAAGGACTCGCCCGAGGTCACGCAGCAAGCAAAGGTTCGGGTAGAGAGGGGCGGGGGTTGCCCAAAGACCGCAAGTCACGTCTCCGGGCTCAGAGGCACACCATGGCGGCCTCTAAGGATAGTGACATCATCATCACCCCCAGGGACTGAGGGCCACCCGGGGCCTTGCCAGACCCCTGAGTGTTTCCATGCATTGCATTACTCCTCCCGGTGGCCCCAGAGGGCACTGACCAACCTCTTTAAACTCCTGGATCTGGGACTGATCAAACATGGAGAAGACATTGGAGCCGGCTCCACCTTCCGCTCTCTTGCGGGCTCTTCTGGGTGCCTGGGAGGTGCCAGGTGGGGTACTGCAGAAGGCCTTCCGCCGGAGGTCAGCCATGCACCCCGCCCGCCCCCCACACCTCCCCTCCCAGCGTGTCATGGTCCCGAACAACACGGCCACCCTGGGCCACAGGGTGCAGCAGACAGACGGGGCTCCTAAGGAAGCCTTGTGGATAAGGGTGGGGGGCATTTGTCCAGCCTGAGGCCAGAAACCTGGGGGCCCCCACCCCACAGGCTGGTCAGCGGCTTCCTGACCTGGTGGGGGGAGCCCAGGCGGTATAGCAGAGAGGACACAGTCCACCCCTATCTCCCTGCGGCCGTCCCCCCTCGGGGCTCCCCTGCGCCCACCCAGGGCCCGGTTCCATCGGGAAACGTCTGCCCAGAGCTCAGAAACCATCTCCACAGCAGGTAGAGCAGGCGACCCCCCACACGGAGGGTCTCTGGCCAGCCTTCCTGCCTCCACATGCTTCTCTCAGGATATCAGGGGCCTGAGAGCCCACCATTGAGCATTCCCTGAAAGCTCTGGGTCCCCAAGACCCCCCAGGGGGCCTCGCCCTCCGCGGCTATCACCAAGGACTTTCAGACTTGGCTCGTGAGGTGGGAAAGCGCAGCCCGGACTTCACAGGGCTGGAGGGGCAAGTGGGGTGTCCCCCCCAGCCCAGCGCCCCTGCCTCCATGTCAGTGGTGCCAAGCCACTGCCCACCCCACCCCAGAGCGCGGGCTTCCCCTGCCTCCCCCGCCCCCGGCCCCTGTGTGGTCTCCTCTCCCCGAGCTCACGCCTGTACCCCAGCCCGCGCTCACCCCCACTTCCCCTCCGGCTCCCAGGCTCAGGAGCAGCAGTAACGGCTGACTTATAATTAGCTTTTACTGGGTGCTTTGTCTCCACTAATCCTTTGAAACAGGGCTCACAGGGCAGCCAGGACGTTATGTGCTGTAAAACCTCTGTAATATTTATAAATCCCTTCAGACATCATAAAGAAAGGAACCTCCCTGCGGGGCTCATCTCACATAATTACATACACATTTCCCTCTGATTAATAAAAAACAATCACTTCCGTCTGTGGGATATTCTGCCCTCTCTCTCCTCAGACCTGCCCTTGGCCTGGGTGCCCCCAGCCCTGTCTCAGCCAGCCTACCGTGTCCCTGTCGTGGACCATCGCCCCACGGTGTGCCAGGCCCTCCTCCAGAGCCCCCAAGGGAGGACGGGATTGTTCTCTCGGATGCCCCGGGGGCACCCTGAGCCCCAGGGCCCTGAGCGGCCCCCTGCTCTCCCAGCCCAGCCATCTTGGAAATCGCCTTTTACAATGTGCCCCTAAAGAAACGAACATCTTCCTAAGGGAACACCTCAGGGCAGAAGGGGGTCACCCAGACCTGAGCAGCCCTGCGGTGTTGAGAACATCACTTGCCTGCTCTGAGCCTCAGTTTCCCCATTTATAAAACCAAGATGATGCCTACCTCAGAGCATCGGGACATTGATTAGGTGCCTGCTGCTGACTTCCAGCCAGGCCCTGTGCCCCGTCCTGGGGACCCAGCGCTGAATCAGACCCCGCCTTGTCCCCAAGGATCCCCCGGTCCAGCTGGGAGACAGATGATCAGTGGGGAGGGATGGACAGACACTCAGAACACAGAGAAGCCCTTATGCCATTGGGGCATTCATGGCAGACCTCTCCGGGGGCGGTGGCCTCTGAGCTGAGGCTTGACAGCCAGGTGAGAGTTCTCAGGCCGGGAGGGAGAGTGAAGGTGTGAGACAGGGACACGAAAGAGCCATGCCACTGAGAGCCTGCGGGGACACCCAAGGGGCCAGAGACAAGGGGAGGGCAGCTGGGCAGGCCTCACACCAGTCCGCAGAGGACCCAGGCTATCCTGGAATATCAACCCTGGTTCCCCAGGGAACCATGTCCTCCTAATGGGAGCAGAGTCCTCCTGCTTCTGCCATGAAACTTCCAAGCCTCGCCCACCCTGTCTCCTTCCACCCTCCTCTTCCTCACTCCGACCTCCCCCGCCATTGCGCCTCAGCAGCCCCCAATGGGTCCAGGAAGCAGAGATGCAAATTGGGACCTGCATGGATAGACTGGCTGCCCGTTAAGGACGGTCCAGGGTGGGTCAGGTGCAGGGATAACAGCAAGGGTGAAGAAAAAGGTCCGGACTAGGGACAACATCAGGTCAAGGTCAAGGATGTCAGCAAGAGGAGCAAGGTCAAGGTCAGGGTGAGTTCAGGCATGAGGTGAAGGTCAGGATCACACATGAAGTCAAGGTCACAGGACGAGGTCAGAGTGGAGGAGTGAGGTCAGGGTCAGGAGGCGGGGCAGCCCCAGCCTACCATGGTCTGGAGAGCTCCCTCCCGTCGCAGCAGGGCTGGAGGTTCTCAGGGATGGCTCTTTAAATAGTGCTCTGGGTCCGGACGACAGTTTGGAGGATGACAAAGGAAAGGATGGAGGCCTCCGTGCCAGGCACCTGTTTGGGGCCATTCCAAGTGGGTGGGGTCCAGACACTGTCCAAACCACAGGATCTCCGCCTGTCCTGGGCCAACCGGATCTCTGCACCCAAGGGACAAAGGCCCAGGAAGGGGCCCTTGGCCGAGAACACATAGTATATTGAGGCCTGGAACCAGCTGGGAGGACTTGGCCTTGGGCCATTTGAGGTCAGGAGTTTCCAAGGCAGGGCCACCCACACCAGCTGGGAAAATTCAAGGCTGCAACAAGGCCCGACCCCTTGAGCTCTGTGACTCTGAGTGGGTCACCATCCTCGGGTGAAAAGTGGCGAGCACGTGTCACCCCCAGTCAGCTTGGGGAGAGGGTTTCTGCCTTGTAGTTGGTTACCAGGGCTACCATGACCCCCTCCAGCCCTTGGGCCACTGAAAATGTCTGGGGAGCTGAAAAAGCAAAGAGTGAGACAAAAGAAAAGTGGACGTGACCCCAACGAGGGAGAATTGGGAAATCAGATCCCCATTCCACGCTGGCCGCACATATCCCCGGCCGGGGCCCACCCCTACCAGGCCTGATCCAGCCCAAGAATTCTCCAGGAGATGTGCCAAGCCAAGTCTGCACCTGCCCCTGGCAGGCCCCCATGTGTCCAGTGCAGCCCAGCAGCCCCTGGCCGTCCAGCCAAGTTGGCTCCCATGTGGGACCCGCCATGTCTGATCGGCCGCCAGGGCCGGCAATGCAGGGCTCAGGCAGTGAGCCCACCCGTCTCCAGGTACTGCACAGCTTAACTGTCCCCGGAGCTGGTCTCCAGGCCACCAGGCCCCACGACGACTGATCCCTGCCTTGGAGGAGGGAATGTGATGATGACAGTAAGAGGAGTAGCTAACATTTATAAAACACAGAAGGTCAGGCCATGTTCTACAACACGTGACCTCACAGCGAATCCTTACTCCACTTTCCAGGTGACAGAACTGAGGCTCACACAGGTGAAGTCACTCATCCAAGGCTGATAAGCCAGGGTGCCAGGATGAGTCTCTCTTTCTAGTGGTTCCAGAAGGGAGCTTCTGGAAGATTCTGCCCAACCCAGTGCTCACCTTCCTGACCTCTCTGGGACCTATGATGGAATCTTCCACCCTGAGCTGGGGTCAGGACTGCCGTGCCGTCCCCTGACAGGGACCAATCACAAGCTCCACAGGCTCCGCAGGGACCAACACATGCTCCATGTTCCCCCACCCCAACCACATGAGGAGGGCTTGCAGGTCTCAGTCCTGCCTTGACTGCTGTGGGAGATGGGCCGTGTGAGTGTGGCAGGTGCCTGCCCCCTCTGGGTCCACGTGGTGGGGCAGGTGACCACCGTCCACACCGGCTACGGGGAGCCGCCTCTCCTTGCCTAGTCCACGAGCCTGAGCCTGGGGCCCCCTGGCTCTGGGCTTGCTGAACGGGGAGAGATTGGCCATCTGGGGCTTTAACACCTGTTTCTTGCTGGCCGGAGGCCTCCTCGCACAAGGGCTCGTTGCCACTAAACTCCTGCCTCTGGGGATCACCACCCAGGCCTCTCACCCTCGGAGGGGCTCCGGGGGGCTCAGGACAGTCCCGGGCGAGCGGAGAGCCCCCCAGCCTGCCGGGAGGAGGGAAATGCAAGAGGGAATGCCAGTGAGAGGCGGGTAAGTCACAACAGGGCTGCCAGGGGCTTAGCCAACTCGTCCCGCTGCTTTCCTTCCCTGGCCTCCCTCCTCCATGCTACAAAAGCAGGCAGAGCCGCTCAGAAAGCCGGTAGGGACTGTGAAAACTCATGGGAGAGATGGTTGGAGAACATCTGTCCCTGGGGCGAGCAGGGGTGTGGCGGGGGGTGGGCCTGCAGCGGCCGCGAGCAGGGGAAGCGCCATGAAAACGAGCTGGCCTCTGGAGTCGAGGGCCCAGGTTTGGAAGGCAGGTCCCCCCACGCTGACAAAACTCACGGCCCGTCAGCCAGGTGCGGCCGGGGCGAGTCTGTTGTTTGGCCCCGCAGACCACGGGGTGGTGGCCGGTTCCGGGGGTCAGAGAGACCCCAGAGGGGTCTGTGCTTTCAGCCGGCGGCCTCCCGGGAGTACGTAGCTTCCAAACTGGAATTCCAGGCCAGTCCGGGGAACTCAGAGGAGTACTAAGCCCCTTGTGAAGAGCACCCCACTTTCTAGAGAGCAACGTGAGCTCCCAGGGGTCACCAAACCTGGAAGGGAGCTTGAAAGACATCAACTGCCTTTGGCCTTGGCCCTCCCCCTGCAGGTTGACAGGCGTCACTCCCACCACAAGAGGGCAAGGTGGGCCAGGTGACCCCGCCTGCTACTCCTCACCCCTAACTCTCCCTTCCAACTCTTCACGGTCAGCCGGCCACCACCTCGACCTTCACCACTTTCCCAATGATTTGCAAAATCTTCTTTCTCCAAACCTTTGACCCTGGAGCATATTCCCCCACCCCAACCATGCCTCCACCCTCCCACTTCCTATCACCTCTCACCTCCTCCCAGAAGCCCTCCCTGCTTTCCCTCCCCTCCCTTCTCCCACTGGAATCACTTCTTCTCTCTGACCGCCACTCTGTAGATCAGCGACTACGGGTCTTTCCCTTGGCCTCGGGGCCTTATCATCATTGCTCCTTGGC